GATCTGCTGTTTTAAATTCTGAGTTGCCACAGAATTCTCGTCTCCACATTCTTGAGGTTCGTCAATATTCTAATCTAATGCTATTGCAATGTGGTCATATTTCTTAATTTGGTATCGATTAGAGTTAGAGTTAGTTCCCAGTCTACCATTTTGAGAATGATATTTCACGAAATCCTAACCCCCTTGGTTTGCCAACAGGAATTCAATGCTGGGCTTTTTGATTATTTGATTGCGACTGACACCAGCAAATTAAAAGAGAATGAAGACAATGGGGAGAGTAGTATTGAACCAAAAAAGTCTAGAAAGCATGCTAAGCATAAAGCCGACTCTGAATTTGGAGTGGTGCGGGGAATTGACTTCAAAAATGTGCACACGGTATGTCATTACTATACTCGTTGATATGTTTTTTCAAGCTATTCATTCTTTACATTCAATTTTGACTGGGTAGTTCTTGGATATCATGTATGTATCCGAGATGCTTTGTTTGAACTCAATGCATTTAAACGACACTTTACGTAGGTAGAACTAAATTCACTTATTGTAATTTCTCTGTTTCCTGATATTACTTTGTGAGATACCATGTTCAGCTAGCATACCATTTAACCATGTCTGCTTTTTATTATTTTTTGCAGGTTGTAAATTTGGATATGCCTCAAAGTGCTGAAGGATATGTTCATCGAATTGGACGTACTGGAAGAGCATATAGTACTGGTGCTTCTATCTCCCTTGTGAGTTTGTTAATCAATGATCATTACAGCATTAACACGCCCATGGCCCGGCCCACGATCTCCCTTTCAGCATAATTTCAAATAGAAGACCCATAATCTGAATTTAATATCTACCCTGTTATAACGTATTACCCCATGCATCCCCTCTGAAGTATTCAAGCTCTTTGGGATGCCATAACATATAACCACAACCAGGCTGTTCCAGTGAACCCAAAATGCTTCTGCTGTTACTTTATTGGCAGTGCATTTGTGATGCAATAATATATGAACTGCAAATGTTCGTTTGTAGATTTTCTAAATTTGATTCTTTGCTTTTAAGTTTGTGTTCATCCCTGAATGTTTTGTCTTGCTTAAGACCTCTGTATGTTTATGATGATGATCTTATCTTGTGAAACATTTTAACGTTCTAAATTTTTTTTTTCTTCTAACAGGTTTCTCCAGATGAGATGGCAATTTTTGAAGAAATAAAATCCTTTTTGGGGGACGATGAAAAAGACGACTCAAACTTAATTCTTCCATTTCCTTTGCTGACCAAGAACGCAGTGGAGTCTTTAAGATATAGAGCTGAGGTGATTCTTCTGACTCTTTTATCGTTCATGATTTGGTTCTCTGTCTTTTCATTTCAAAGGCTTCATGGATCACTTCACTATTTTTCGCCTGAGTGGACCCATTATGGTCAAGCTAACCATGAATTTGGGTCTCCTGTTTGGTGATTTGTTTTGCTTTTTTTGATCACCTTGTTGAATTGCATCATTCTGATTCCTGATCTGCAATTGGGTGGAAATTTATTGTACGGTTAAAGGCCCCCCAGATCACCTGATCATAAGCACTGACTTCTACAGGATGTTGCAAAGAGTGTGACAAAAATTGCTGTCAGAGAATCGCGAGCTCAAGATTTGAGAAATGAAATTCTCAATTCTGAAAAGTGAGTATATACTATTGTTGCTTTCTTTATCTGCATGAGGTCCTTTGCACCAACACTCTTGCAAAATTAGGTACATGGCTTGTAGAAAATAATCAATATCGCTAAATATTTTTTAGCGCCTACTACGCTGATTGGATCACAGATACACAGTAGTCAAAGTTACTTTGACTGAGCGCAGCTACTTGTGTTCTTTTTAGTTTTTTGCTTCTCAACCTATGTTTTCTCTGCACTAACCTCTCCTACAACTTGCAGCTTTTGGTTTCTAATAACAATCCGTTTTTATCTGTGTAGGTTGAAGGCTCATTTTGAAGTTAATCCAAGAGACCTAGGTATTGTTTAGTTGAATGTACTGGGTCTCCTATTATACTTGCTCACTGTACCTTTGAAGTTACAAGATTTAGACATTACTAATTTATAATTTTGAGCAGATCTGTTGAAACATGACAAGGCTCTAAGCAAGAAGCCTCCTGCTCCTCACCTACGCGATGTGCCTGATTATCTATTGGATGCAACAACTAAAGAAGCCAGCAAGACTGTTAAGCTTGCTAGAGCTGCAATGGGAAACACCAACCCTGCTCGCCGCCATGGATTTAAGAGAAAATCCAAAAAGAATAAGGACCCCCTCAAGACTTTCACTGCTGAGGTACTTTGCATTTTTCTTGTACCTAACCTCTTCATTATTTCAAGTTATGTCAATTTCGCTTGATACACATGCAACTAAGCGTCGTCCCAACCTCTTGTTGCTCCGAGTGCCAATGCGCAGAGAGACTGGAATTAGTTGCTGATGAATCTTGTAAAAATCTGATAACAGGGACATAAGAGAGCTCGTAGAGGCGGGATGAAGCAAGAAGGAAAAGATGGCAATGGCAACCATAGACAAAAAAAGAGAAAGACCTGATATACCATTTAATTTAATTACTGTATACGCATATACAGCGGCTAGCAAGCAACTCCCACAATTTTGTATCAAGTTATAGTGATAATACCTCTTTCTTTCATACATCTATCCGTCAATTTGACATGCGGTTCAACTTTCTACTCTTGGGAGAACATGTGGTTCAACTTTTGTTATGTAAATGTAATTTTGATATTCAAGGCAAAATTGTTTGGTACAAAGACGAGGGACACAGAAGTGTTCATATCAGGCTGATCTCTGCGTGGACAAGACTTTCGTCAAATTTGGAAGTTGCACGATACTTATTTTCAGCTTTGTTAAGTTCTCTATCTTTGTTCGTCCTTTGCTAGCTGTTTACATCCACACTTGAATGATGGGCCAATTAACTGTCATATGTTTTGAAGTTTGATTTTATTGTCATCAACTAGCTGGTGATCTAATAGTATTAGTAGTATTTAGGCAGTTCAAATCTCCTTTCAGTGACGAAAAAATGAAAACAAATTTGATTTCGTTGTCATAATTTGTTTTTTCGGTGAAGCTCGTCATTGTCATAATATTTTGGTTTGAAATTTGGTGACTTTCTTTATGAACTTTTTAATGAATTTAATCACAAAGCCTTAAGCCTTGAAATATCTGCAGGTAAAGCACCTGAGATTGAAAAGTCCAAAAGCTTGAGAGCAGTTATCCCTGTAAAATCGAAGACCTTGTGTTGGAATCCCCTCGTCCAATATCGATTGTGTCAAAAAAGAAGACGTCAACATGCTTGGAAAAAGAAAAAGAAAAAGGCATGGGCCATGGAGTGGTTACCCCCCCTTCTGTGTCGACAATGATGTGGATAGAGAGACTAGCTTTTTCTTTGTGGTAGTTATACCTTGTATGCATTTACAACCCTCACCCGCAATACAAGTGTTGATTAGAGAGCCACGTGTCCACGTGCATGGCAGTTGTACATTGTCATTGTTCTTTATGATTTGCTTGTACGCCTCCAAATAAAATTGAATCTCCCAATTATGATCTCTCCCATTCGTGTGTGCTAATTGGTTTTTAATTTGTTTAGAAAAAAAAAAATGTATATGTAATTGTGTGCCATGAAAAATATAATTTATTAATAATTTCAATTCTTAATACTTACATTAATCAATGACATTTTCTGGCATTTTGAATGTTTTACAAATGTTTTGAACTTGCCGTCAAATGTTCAACCAAACAAAATGAAAGCCCAATTCAAAACACAACAATTCTGTAATGAGAGTGTGATATATGGACCCCTACCTTCGTATTATGTGATTACTTTTGCGTAAATGACCTAATACCAAAACGCACCGTTTAGTTTCTGTCAAGAAATGCTTCAGCAAAATAGACAATGCTTGTGATTATTTTTGTACTTGGGTGGTGGTTCTTTCTCTTACTGGGACGGCGGGACCATTTGATGGCAAACTTACCTAGCTTTCTAGGTTTATGAAATAGATGGCAATTGCGTGTCATGTCATGTAATATTGTCGACGCAATGCCATGTCGCATGCACACTGACATGCATACTCAATAATTGAATATACTTATCTTTTATTTCACTCGAATAGACAAATTGTAAATTGCTGAAACCCTAATTTGTTCACCACTGATGGGAACAATTTGATAATAAAAGCGACCTACTTTCTTGGTTTGAGTCCTGAATGAATGGTAATCCGTTCCCTTGGATTGCCTAACTAACTTTGGTGCATGCTTTCAATGCTACTATGTGGTCCATTACTTAATCAAGTGGGGCAGTTTCTTTTAATCCACTTCAAAGGAACAGTTGTTTTTCTCTATTCTTTTCCCATTGAGGAAATTTCTGGACTATTCTATTAACTTTAGCCTTTGTTCTTTTTCTTAAAAAAGAAAAAGGAATTAAACAAGTCTTTTTAATTTTTTTTTAGGGGATATTGATGATGTCGGGAAAAGAAGGAATTGAACTTTAGGATCTCGAGTGCACGAATAAAACACTCTAATTAATCTCTTGAACTACAAGTACCTCACGGCTGTTTTTAATTTTTTAGCCGGAAGGTAAAGAAAGAAGTCTAGATTTGCACCCCTATTTACTCCTGTGAAGGTACACGCATATTTGGACAGTAACTATGACAATTAAGCCAAGGGACAGCACCAGAGACAAAAATCAATAACAATTCAATGAGCCTTCACTTCCCCAAAAATGCTCCTACAAAAAGCCCCATGCCCACATCCATACCATCCTCCTCCTTCATCCTCACCCACAACATTCAGATTCAAAAGCAGCAACATTGTCACCTTTCTCCTCCATAACCATAACAATAATCAACCTCACCTTTCTACAAGCTTCCATAATCACAAACCCACTACAACAACAGCAACAGAAAAATTGAGCAAAAGCTCTAGTACCAGTAACTCCTGCATTTCTTCTTCATCATCTGGGTCTTTTTCTTTGATTCGGACCAAGATGGTGGCAATGGTGGCGGTAGATCCCTACGTTCTCTGGACCTTCTTTGCCTCCCTCTTGGGTTTCGTTGCTCTCTCTGTTCTCCGTCGCCGTAATTACGGTAATGGCATGGCCAAAGACAGGAGCAAGGTACAGAAGAACAAGAACAACACGAATAAGAGCCTTGTTTCAGAACAATGTGTCAAGAGCTCCGACGAAGGAGAATTCCGGCCGGTGTACGGCTCCGGCACCGACGTCATCATTGTCGGCGCCGGTGTTGCTGGCGCTGCTCTCGCCCATACCCTTGCCAAGGTAATTTTAAAAAAAAAAAAAAAAAAAAAAAAAAAAAAAATCCCTTTTTTGGGTCAAATTTTATAGCTTTTTATGGTTTTTGTTTGTTTGAAGAAAACTTCTTCATGCGTAGCGTGTTGCCTTCAGAAAACTTGTTTTCGTTTTACAATAAATGGTTGCTTATTATGTTTTCTTTTTGTGTTGTGCATAGCTGATTGAATTAGGCATGCCAGGTTTTATTATATTCTTAGATAGAAAGTTGATGACGCAATTGTTTAGTTAATAAAGTTGTTATTTTATTGATTAATTAAATGGAATTTAAAAGTTCAATGTTTGTACGGGAGATTGATAAGGGGTCTAGTTAAGTATGGTTGATACCTTGCAATGAAATCACTGGCTTGCTAAAAATTGGGAGGGATGGTTCTGTTTTCCACGAAGTTTTGAAAATGATTTACATGCTTTTTTACCCATCAACAACCATTCAGCTCCTGTAAAGGTATTTGTGTAGAAATGTAGAGTCTTACTTTATCTGCTGCTAATTGCAGGAGGGAAGACGTGTTCATGTGATTGAAAGAGACTTGACAGAGCCAGATCGAATTGTTGGTGAACTTCTCCAGCCAGGGGGATACTTGAAATTGATTGAGTTGGGTCTTGAAGGTAATGAAAGTTACTATTTTTTGAGTTTTGTGCTCTAGATGTTATTTGAACTAGAAATGCCAATGATGGTGGCTTTGAGTGCTGAATATCCTGCTTCTCTTAGTATTGGTTTCGGTTGCGAAATCCAACAATAACATATATGACCATTGGTTTCAGATTGTGTGGAGGAAATTGATGCTCAGCGAGTGCTTGGATATGCTCTTTTTAAGGATGGGAAGAATACTAGGCTGACCTATCCTCTGGAACAGTTTCACTCGGATGTGGCAGGAAGAAGTTTCCACAATGGGCGATTCATACAGAGGATGAGAGAAAAAGCTTCTAAACTAATGAAGTAATGTTTCTTGCTTCCTCATTTGGATGCTTATTCTGTCTTGCTTCCTTCCATGATGTGTGGTTTTATGTTATCTTTACTTTTTCGATGAAGGTTCTGCTTTTCTAAGTGTTGTTTTATGCTAAAAGATTACTGATTCCCGCACATTATCTTGTGTTCATTGTTTCTTTTCAGTGTACAACTGGAGCAAGGTACGGTAACATCCCTGCTTGAAGAAAATGGGACAATTAAGGGGGTTCAATACAAAACTAAGGATGGTCAAGAACTTAAAGCATATGCTCCTCTTACAATTGTTTGTGATGGTTGTTTCTCAAATCTGCGCCGCTCTCTTTGCAAGCCTCAGGTAAGGTTGCCTTCTTTAAATCTGTAATAGCACTATTACTTAGTCTGATTAGGAGAGCGATAGAGCGATACACTTGAAGAAAGCTTCTGGTAAAACGGTTGGTTCATTTGGTTTTTCATCTCCTAGCTTCAGAGATTTCTATTTGAACTACATCCATTGTCTTGAATTGTCTCCAATTTTTTTGCTTCATACCATTTAGATTGACAAATATGGTATCAATATACTTTTTAACAGGTAGAAGTGCCATCCTGTTTTGTGGGATTAATCTTGGAAAATTGCGAACTCCCATTTGCAAATCATGGGCATGTAATTCTTGGAGATCCCTCTCCAATTCTGTTCTATCCAATCAGTAGTACAGAAGTCCGCTGTCTGGTTGATGTACCTGGCCAAAAATTACCTCCCATTGCCAATGGTGAAATGGCCAACTATTTGAAGACTGTGGTGGCTCCACAGGTACCTGTCATTTTTGAATTTACAGTTCTTCATTTCAGATATTGAAACATTTTGCTACGTCCTAATTTATTGACAGTACTTGTCTTGTTTTGAAACTTCAGTTTCGGAAAGAACATCTATTACCTGCCTTGCAGTTAATTCTTTGTTCCTTTTTGGCCTGAACCTGCTTCTTTCTTCTCGTTTGAATTAATGAAGAAATTGTCTGTTTCAGGTTCCACCTGAACTTCATGATGCATTCATTTCTGCAGTTGATAAAGGAAATATCAGAACAATGCCAAATAGAAGCATGCCAGCCAATCCACAGCCAACTCCAGGAGCCCTTTTGATGGGTGATGCTTTCAATATGCGACATCCTTTAACTGGTGGAGGAATGACTGTGGCACTGTCTGATATTGTTGTACTCAGGGATCTTCTTAAGCCACTGCATAACCTACACAATCCAGCTTCATTGTGTAAATACCTAGAATCCTTTTATACCTTGCGCAAGGTAAGCTGTGTTGCGATCCTTGTACTAGAGATGCTATTATCACATTACATATTCAACTGATATTTGGTGTTGTCTTTGCAGCCGGTCGCATCTACAATAAATACCTTGGCAGGTGCCCTATACAAGGTGTTCTCCGCCTCCCCTGATGAAGCAAGGAAGGAGATGCGCCAAGCATGTTTTGACTATCTAAGCCTCGGAGGTACCTGTTCAACTGGACCAGTGGCTTTGCTCTCTGGTCTAAATCCCCATCCATTGAGTTTAGTTCTTCATTTCTTTGGTGTGGCGGTATATGGTGTTGGCCGTTTGCTACTACCATTTCCTTCACCAAAACGCATTTGGATTGGAGCCAGATTAATTTTGGTGGGTTTCTCTTTTCACCTTAATTTTCCTTGATGGTTATAGAATGTTGAATCATGGTTAGCGTCTACGTCTTTTTAAATTTATATATATATATATATTTAAAATCCTGCCTACCATTCATGAGATGGTAGCTTCAAACAAACTTTCAAAAAGAGTTAGATACCTTGTTTTCCAACTGAGCAGAGCCTTTTGCCTCCATTGTATATACATGAATTAAATTAATTTTTCTAATTCTTAATGAAGAAGAGCTTCTTCTTTTTGCCAGAGTGCATGGGGTATAATATTTCCCATCATCAAGGCAGAAGGAGTGAGACAGATGTTCTTTCCGGCTACTATTCCAGCTTATCATAGAGCTCCTCCTGTTGAGTGAGCTACAGAAAATGATATGAGAGAGAGCAAGGTGTGCTTCAGATTTGTTGCCTTTCAAAAGTCAAGACAAACCAGTATATACCTGCAACTTCATTCTTGTTAATGATAGATTAAGAGGAAATTCCATTTGTATTTTTTGTAACCAATTGTATCATTATTTATTGGTTTAGGACCATTCTCTCAATGTATGAACAACAAGTGATGTGAAACTCAAAATATGTGTATCTTATGTCGACTATATGTTAGATATTGTATTACATTCGTTGCATTTTTTATTGGCCTATTGATAAGATATTAGACTGGATCAAGAGTGGATATCTATGCAGATTTTAATCAAAATCTTTGACCCATAGAGAACAGAAAGAAAAAGAAGAAAAAGAAAAAAGAAGATTGTGATCCCTCTTTCTCAACTTCCATGTCCAGCCTATGTAAAATATTCACTCCCACATGTTTTCATGACTCAATCCAACTGCATCCCCGTGTCTTCGCCACCCCCGTTCTGTTCATCAATTCTCTCACATTAGCTGCTTCTTCCCATTGCCCAGCAGCTGCATAAATACTTGCCAAAAGCACATAAACAGTTGGATTATTTTGTTCAGTTTCAAGGAGAAATCCAGCAACTGTTCTTCCTAGCCTTAAATTACCATGCGCTGCACAAGAACTGATTAGTGTCCACCAAATATTTGGATGTGCTTTAATATGCTTGCTGTTTATTACCGTTTCCGCCTCATCAAGATACCCAGCACGACCCAGAAGGTCAACTATACAAGAAAAGTGATCTACTTGAGGCATAAAGCCATAATCATTAATCATGGAATTGAAAATTCGGGTACCATCAACGACTAAACCAGCGTGGCTGCAAGCGGAAAGGACTGCTGTGAAGGTGGCCTGATCTGGTTTGACTGCAGCGGAGTCTTGCATTGCCTCAAAGCAGCGCACAGCTTCATTTCCTTGCCCATGCTGTGCATAAGCTGATATCAGGGAATTCCAGGAGACTGTATCCTTTTGAGGCATTGCATTGAACACTCTTACTGACCAAACTATAACCCCGCATTTAGCATACATCGTAATGAGGGCGTTATGTAAACACATCTGGGGGAAAAACCCAAATTTGAGAATGTAGCCATGAACTTGTTTTCCATCTCTCAAGGCTGATATGCTTGCACAAATGCTCAAAATACTAGTTAATGTACACACATCTGGCCTGTGTTCTGACATTAGCAGTTTCGAAAATTGCACTAACCCTTCTTTTACCAATCCATTTAACAGAAACCCAGAAATAATAGCATTCCATGAGATCAAATTTATGTGAGTGATATCTTTAAATACTTGGTAGGCCAGATTCATGTTACCCTGCTTAGCATATGCAGAAACTAAGGCATTTGAAACTTGAATGTTAAGGATAAGCCCATCTTTCTGTGCAAGGGCTTGAACCGCTTGCACAGTCTCAATGAACTCGGAGCTTGCTAACAAACTCCCAAAAGTAAACTCATCTGGTTTTACCGCTGCCCTCTGCATTTGCAGGTAGATCAAGATGGCCAATTTACTGCTATTTCCCTGTGAATAAGTCGAGATCATGGTGTTCCATGATATAAGATCCTTCTCTTCCAATACCTGAAAAACCAGGTAAGCTGCATGCAAATCCCCACAACCAGAATACATGGTTATTGCTGCATTGCTCACAGAAGTAAAAGCTTCGAAACCCAACTTTATAGCTTGGGCATGTATGTGGTTGGCAACTCTTGCAGCTGAACATGAGCTCATAACACTTACAAAAGTCAGTTCAGTAGGTCTAAGACATACCTCTTGCATCAATTTGAACATCTTCAAAGCCTCTTCATCTCTTCCCACATTCACCAAACCATCTATCATCACATTGAAAGTAATCTGATCATATACCGCATCTTCTGCTTCTTCAAAAACCTCAAATGCCTCCAAAACACTTCTGCAGTTAAAATACATAGTTAGCAGAGCATTAACAACAGAAGATCTACCCAAAAACCCAGTTTTAATCACTAACGTATGCACCTGCCTCCCAAAACCTAAACCCTCCAAAGCACAAGAACTCAAAACACTAGCAAAACTATAATTGTCATGCATAACACCCATCCTATGCATTTCTCCAAACAACCCAATAGCCACCTCCTCACAGCCATTCTCTGTGCATCCGGTAATCATTGCATTCCAAATCGCCACATTACGCTTTTCAGGCATTGTATCAAACAGCTTAGATGCATAATCCACATGCCCCAGTTTAGTACATGCCGACAACAGCGTCGTCCAGGAATAAACATCTGGGTTTTCAATCTCATCGAAAACCCATTTCACAGAATTCAAATCTTCGGCTTTCGCATAGAGTGAGAGCAGCGTGTTGGCAACGTGAGGGTAGGCTTTAAGGCCAGTTCGGATGGCGTGGGCGTGGAGTTGGGTTCCGAAAACGACGTCGCGGGAGTTAGCACAGGCCGTGACGGCTGCAGAGAGCGTGTAGTGGTCTGGTCTTACGGATTGCGAGGACAGGATTTGGGTGAAAAGTTGGAGGGCCTCTGAGTAACAATGGGAGCGAGTGAGCTTTGCGAGACTTTGGTTCAGTTTGAGGATCTGCTCACCGGCGACTTCAGCTATGGTCTTTGTGGTTTCTTTGTAGAAGTGAAACTTCATAGCTCATTTGATTTTCTTTTTATTTTCTGAACTTTCCAGTCATGGCGTTTGGTATAATGTTATGGTTTGTGCAGGCCTTGGTTGAAGAAGAAGCTCCGAGTCTCTGAGACTCGACTTTAAACTTTAAACCGTTGGCTCCCGCCATTGAGCGTACGCATAAACGACGGAGTTATTAGTTATTTCCTTTTTCTGGATTTTAGCAGTGAATGGTGAAATTCCACTCCTGTCCAATCTCTAACCCTCCAAGTCACTATCTAAATTCTATTGACAAAATATTTTGGTATAGTTGTTCCTTTGTTAGTTGTATACCAAATCATTCTAAGAGTAGGGGATGTTTTACTATGACTATTCATTGTAATTTGTAATTTCTTTGGTCCAATCTATGTACAAGTTCTTTTTTGTAAGAGGCTTGTAAGTTGTAACTCAAGTACTCGAGATTCTGCATTCGAATCCCCCCCTCCCTCAATATCGCTTGTGTTAAGAAAAAAAAGAAGACAAAAGGCGTGGAGAGAACTTCATTTTTATTTGTGTTACTTAGCAAAATTGTGTTTTATTTAAGGCTATACTTGGACTTTATATGCATTAGTGTATTACTTTTCACAATAACATTGGTAACATGTAATAACAAGTTTTATTAATTTTCATCTTGCCACACTTTCAATGCTAAATAGATAATTGATTACAATGAATATATATGACCAAGAGATATATTTTTCTTATTTGATCAATGGATGGACAAATTCAAACTTAAGATCTCTTCTAATTAGGAAATGATGTAACACTCTACTAAGAATATTTTCACACAAAAACATATGACTTTGTGACATTAATCATAATTATAAGTTGTAAACTTTATACCTAACCAACAAGCACACAACACAAATGTTTTATTTTTTATTTCCCAAAGAAATGAACATGTCATTACCATAAAAAAGAAGAATTACATAAAAACCCAACACAAAAATCAGAAAAATAAAAGCAAGACTGAACCAAACAAAATAAAAGCCCAATCCAAAACACAACACAACTATGTGACTACTTTCTTCTTCCCTCCAATTTTCGTCTACACAGTTTGTAACTTTACTTAAATGACCTAATACCAAAACGCACCGTTTAGTTTGTGTCAAGAAATGCTTCAGCAAATTAGACATGGCGGTACGAGAATGTTGAGCTGAGTTGAGTTGCAGAGGTAGACAACATGCGGAGGTTATGTCAACAAACCATGTCTCTCTGCACCAAACACCATCTCTCACTTTCCTCCAAACCAAACAGCCCCTTCAACCTCTTTCACACAAACCACAAACCCACCAAGCAAACAAACAACCCCCATGTATTCAGCGAAAGAAGATCCGGGTTCGGGTTGGTCCGCCTAGAAACCGACCCAGAACCATCCCCGGACGACCCGAACCACTGCGAGTTCGCCGCCGACGTGGAGAAGATTTACAGAATATTAAGGAAATTCCACTCGAGGGTCCCTAAACTCGAGCTGGCTCTGGAACAATCCGGCGTCGTTTTGAGGTTGGGCTTGGCCGAGCGAGTGCTTAACCGGTGCGGGGATGCTGGGAATTTAGGGTACAGGTTCTTCGTGTGGGCTTCGCAGCAGCCTAATTACAGACCCAGTTACGAAGTGTACAAAGCCATGATCAAAAGCTTGAGCAAAATGCGTCAATTCGCTGCCGTTTGGGCTCTGCTTGAAGAAATGAGGAAAGAGAACCCACATCTGATTACCCAAGAAGTTTTTGTAGTTTTGATGAGACGGTTTGCGTCCGCGAGAATGGTGAAGAAAGCAGTTGAGGTGCTCGACGAAATGCCTAGGTACGGGTGTGAACCCGATGAGTATGTGTTTGGTTGTTTGTTGGATGCTTTGTGTAAAAATGGTAGTGTTAAAGAAGCAGCTTCGCTGTTTGAGGATATGCGTGTGAGGTTTACACCGAATGTTAAGCATTTTACGTCTTTGTTGTATGGTTGGTGTAGAGAAGGGAAGCTTATGGAGGCCAAATTCGTGTTGGTGCAAATGAAGGAAGCTGGGTTAGAGCCTGACATTGTGGTTTTTAACAATTTGTTAAGTGGGTATGCTCAAGCTGGGAAGATGGTTGATGCGTATGAGCTTTTAAAGGAGATGAGAAGGAAGGGTTGTGAGCCCAATGCTGCTTCATATACGACTGTGATTCAGGCACTTTGTGGTCGAGAAAAGATGGAGGAGGCAATGAGGGTGTTTGTTGAGATGCAGAGGAGTGGTTGTGAGGCTGATGTTGTGACTTACACTACTTTGATTAGTGGGTTTTGTAAGTGGGGGAAGATTGAGAGGAGTTATGAGATTTTGGATGGTATGATACAGAAAGGTTTTATGCCGAATCAGATGACTTACATGCACATTATGCTGGCTCATGAGAAGAAGGAAGAGCTGGAGGAATGTGTGGAATTAATGGAGGAGATGAGAAAGATTGGTTGCATTCCTGATCTTGGTATTTACAACACCTTGATTCGATTGGCATGCAAATTGGGGGAGGTGAAGGAAGGTGTTCGACTTTGGAACGAAATGGAAGTTGCCGGGTTTTCTCCAGGGCTTGATACCTTTGTCATTATGATTCATGGGTTTCTTGGGCAAGGTTTTTTGATTGATGCTTGTGATTATTTTAAAGAAATGGTTGGGAGAGGTCTTCTATCTGGCCCACAATATGGTACCTTGAAGGAGTTGATGAATGCTTTGTTGAGAGATGAGAAGCTAGAAATAGCTAAGGATGTTTGGAGTTGCATTGTGACTAAAGGATGTGAGCTCAATGTCTCTGCATGGACAATTTGGATTCATGCACTGTTTTCAAAGGGGCATGTGAAGGAGGCTTGTTCATACTGCTTGGACATGATGGAGGCAGATGTGATGCCACAGCCGGATACATTTGCGAAGCTCATGCGTGGTTTAAGGAAACTTTATAACAGACAGATTGCAGCTGAGATCACCGAGAAGGTGAGGAAGATGGCTGCAGATAGGCAGATCACTTTCAAGATGTATAAACGACGAGGTGAGAGGGACTTGAAGGAAAAAGACAAGGAGAAAAAAGATGGGAGGAAACGGAGGGCTCGCAGAAGGCGTTGGCCTAGTAAAGCTAAAGCTTTATAGTTTGAATGAGAAAACTGAAGGTTGTGTATCCAAGTCACAGAGAGAGATGAATCTGGTATGCACTTCTCGCAATAGGGGCATCATTTGACCTGTTTTATCCCAAGCATTATCGCAGCCTCTCTTCATCTCTTTCTTCCTTCTGTCTAGATCTCGCAGCCACGAAATTATTGTCAATGACTCTCTCTTTCCTCTCCTCCGTCAACAAACAAAATAAAATCCCAACAAAAAAGAACAAAAATTGAAACATATACGATTAAAAAGGATTTAGAATACTTTATTAATTTTTATTCTTTAGTTGTAAACGAAGATGTCACAATTACAGCAACATATTGAACATTATCCAAATAAAATTTGAGATCACCAAAATTTAGGTCTTCTGCGGAAGTAGATCAAATCCAAAGGATTAGAACCAGCATACTTATCACGTACTGCAACATCATAATTTGCGCTGGGCAATGACCCATCTCTGACCTTAATGACAAGGACAATATGGAGGCCTGTTACCTCGCAGCGTGTCTTGCCCTTGACCACGCTTTCAAACACCAAATTCTTCTTCTCGTGCTTGTTATACGAAGAGACAGCGAACTCTGGGGTATTTATCCTTTTTTTTTTGGGTCAAACAATGGAAGATTTTTATATATATTTAAAATCCCATTTAAACTTCCCACCCACACGAGATACATGCGCTGCTACCAGATGAGCAGCTGCATTGCACCTACAATTCACAAAAGTAAAAGATACCTAACCCACTTGAGAGGCCAGTAACTTAATATCATGAATAATGCCGTCAATAGCAGTATCCGTATCCGTCTTCATGTTACCAGTTAGCATCGCAACAAGCTGTTTACAGTCTATCTCCACCATTATCCTAGTAACCCGCGCCTCCAAACCCGCTGCCACCGCCTCTCGCACTGCTTCTGCTTCAGCGGCCAGAGCCGACTGGCACCCCTCACACCCCCTGCCATTTCCATACAGCCATTACTGTCCCAAGCCACCCATCCTGCTCCACCCCTCATGTGCGCTTGCGTCCAAGCACCATCGACGTAGAGTAGATTAAATGTGCTCAATTATAATCTGAGCTGTCAGTCAAAATGCTTTTGTACACAGCATTCACACTCTTTTATCTTTCTATATGAGATGAAGAATTCCATCTTCTTATCTCACGAAAAGTGTGTTAGGTTCTCATTGTTTTAGATTTGCTAAGCTATAGCTAAGCTTATCTTGCAGTATTGGGATATGGATTCTCTTATACCAACCATATTTTTCCTCTTCTTTTTCTTGGGTACAATTTCGGGTGCGCCCTATAATGAGATGAAATATGATTTTCAAGACTATGTTTCAAACACCATCGTGGTCGATAAGAGTGGTCGAGGAAATTTTACCACAGTGCAAGAAGCCATCGATTCTATACCGTCAAATAACTCTTTGTGGACTCGTATCCTTATTAACCATGGTCTCTACATGTAAGTAGCACAAACTTCTTCAAGTTTAAATTATTTTTTTCTAATCTATCAAATAAAAATCGAAACTCTAAATATATGACATTTTCATTAGGGAAAAAGTTGTGATTCCTCGAAACAAACCACATATTATTCTTGAAGGCGACCCTAGACATGATACCGCAATCGAATATGGAGATTTTGGCAGTGTTATTGACAGTCCTACATTCAAGTTGTTTGCAGATAATTTTGTGGCACGGAATATAATATTCAAGGTTAAAATTCATGTAGATAGTGTTTGTTTGTTTGTTTTGAAGTTACTATCATTTATTTATAGTTTAAAGTCTTAATTATGGTGGTTACAGAATTCATACGACCGTCTTATCACATCGGATCCAAATGGAAGGAAAACTACTTGGGCACCTGCAGCTTCAATTTCTGGAGATAAAGCAAGTTTTTATCATTGTGCTTTCATTAGTTTGCAAGACACATTGAGTGATGACGTTGGTCGTCACTATTATTATGACTGCTTTGTTGAAGGGGCTATAGACTTCATTTGGGGCAATGGCCAATCAATTTATGAGGTAAATTTATTTATTTTCTCTCATACCCTATTTGGTGGCCGTGACAGGACATAATTGGGACTAAATTCATTCGAGTCTTCTTAAATTTCACTATTTTAAATAGGACTTATAAGACATAATATGTTGAAATATTTCCTTGCAGAAATGCCAATTAAGATCAGTAACAGACAAAATAGGTGTACCTGGTTTTATCACAGCGCAGGGTCGTAAGGGCCTAAAGGAAACTAGCGGTTATGTATTCAAAGATTGCTATGTAAATGGAACAGGCCCTATATTTTTAGGAAGACCATACAGAAATTATTCAAGAGTATTGTTTGCCTCCACATATATGGAAAATATTATAACCCCAGAGGGTTGGTCCACATGGGAAAAGAGATCACTGTAAGTTTTCTTTTTTCTTTTTTATTTTATATATCTTTGTCTGTGTGAAGAGAATATTAAAATTATGCCAGATATTAAACTTTAATTCTCTTGTTTTTTTCTTGACATTATCGAACAGGAATTTAATCACATTCTCAGAGGTGAATTGCAAAGGTCCTGGAGCAGATATGTCCCATCGTGTCCCGTGGGAGAAGAAGTTATCAGATCAGGAAGTGACATATTTAACAAATCCAGCTTCTTTCATAGACCAAGATGGATGGTTGGGAAAACAACCCAATTAAGCCCTTGATATCAATAATAATTAGTCCCCTTTTTAGGTCTTCCATCAATAACCCGTTGTTAAGGCAACAAAGAAGGATGGTGCAAAATGTCTTTGTCAATGGACTAAGTATACATCTTTGTAATGTTATGAGGTCTTGATTGAAAAATTGAATCAGCTTCGATAACATATGAGGTTTTTGTGTACTGGGATGTGTTGTTTGTTTGCTTGGTGTGGGTTTGTGGTTTGTGTGAGAGGTTGAAGAGGATGTTTGGTTGGAGGGAAAGTGAGAGATGGTGTTATTTGCCTCTTCAACTCAACGCAGCTCAACATTCTCGCACCACCATATCTAACATTGCTAACATTGCTAATGTTCTCAATCAAACCAAACGGTCAACTTAATAGAAGACTTAAATTGGTCAAATTTGAAAATTGTGGGGTATAAATTGATGAAATTAAAACTCAGTAGCCCATATTGAGAATGACCCCAAACATCCAAATGGTGTTTTGTCGTTAACCCAATTATTTATTTATCATCTAACTACCGTCCCTTTTTTTTTGTCTTTCTATGAAACCTATCATGAAATAATAGGATAACGTAATAATGTACCTAATTTTTCTTAAGAATAATGTACCTATATTTTGCTTATAGATAATGTACCTAATTTTTATTATTATATAAGTATGTATCTATCTATTTACCTATCTTGTATTAGATATGTAGGTAAATTATTTTTAATTAAAACTACAGATATGTAGGTAAATTATTGATGTTGCTAGGTAGATATTGATATTGCAAGGTAAGGTACATATAGTGTTTTTTTTTTTTTTTTTTTTTTTTTTTTTTTTTATTTTTAATTTTTATATTTTATATTTTTTTTGCTATCATTATTTTTTGTTGGAATAGATGCTTTATATAAAATTATATAATAATACACCATAAGAGTGTACCAAAGATAGCACTGAAACAACTAATACTAATCCAAAACTCAAGTATGAGAGACAAGAACAAATGTCTGATATTTAAAAAGAGATTTTCTATTTAAACCCCACACTTCTCACTACTACATTTTACAATTTGCGTGACGAAGAGAATTTCGTCCGCAAGGTACATTTTTGTCGCACAAATTTCAGCGCAACAGAAACTTTGTCGCGCAGAATCCGTAGCGCAAAGATCGTGAAGAAAGACTTTGCGCGACCAAATTTTTTCATTGGTCGCCCAAAGTCACTTTGCGCGACGGAAAAATATTGGTTGTGCAAAGTTTTGCGTGACGAAAAACATTGGTCGCGCAAAGTCTTAAAAAAAATAAAAAATAAAAAAATTTCATGCGTCCCATTTTTGGCAACTGCCCAAATTTTTAGAGTTTTGCACGACGAATATTAATTTTTTCTTATTATTTCTTTAACATTAATTTAATTAAATTATTTTTTTTAATTTTTACTTTATAAATTTAATTTAATTGTATGATTTTTTCAAATTTTTACTTTTTAAATTTAATTTAATTGCATGATTTTTTTAAATTACTTTAATTTAAATTGACATATGAAAAATATAATTACATATGAAAAATAGTGATCAAATTATCCAATAAATATATATATATATAATATTGAAAATGTACACATAAATTAACAAAGTATAATAATAAAATCCTAATACAAGCCTATTGTGGTGGTAGTGCCGGATGATATGTTTTGATAGCTTCCTAATCCTCAACTTTAACCGTCAAAGTCTCAATGATTCCCTACAAAAAAACAAATATGGTCAAATAACAAAATTTTAAATTAAAAAAAATTGGCATAATCTCCCCTAAAATTGTTATACCACAAATCCAACCCAAACTCCAATCCTTACCCTATACTCAACCCCAAACCCCAAACCCCACACAAACTCAAAACTAACTCAAAAAACACATATTAATGAAATTTTTTTTTAAATTTGTAGAGAATATACATTTTGGCAAGATTGAGAGTGAGTGAGAATGAGAGGGAGAAGTGAACGTGAGAGAATTAGAGAAGATAGTGAGAGAGAGAGAGAGATGAGAGAGTGAGTGAGAGTGAGAGATAGTGAAAAGAGAGATGAGAGAGAGATGAGAGAGTGAGAGATAGTGAAGAGAGAGATGAGAGATTAAGTGACAGGAGTGAGTGTGAGAGAAAAGGTGGGATTTGGGGAGAGGGAAAGAGAGAGGAGAGGTAAGAGTAGAGAAAGACATTGAGAAAGTGGTGGAGGAGTTATTTTGGTTTTAAAAACTGTATCATTTTGCACGACGAAAAATATTGTTGGTCGCGCAAAGTTTTGTGTGACGAAAAAGATTGGAATATTGGTCGCGCAAAGTTTTGTGCGATGAAAAATATTGGTCGTGCAAAGCTTTGCGCGACGAATACTGGAATATTGGTCACGCAAAGTCTAAAAAAAATTATAAAATAAAAAAATAAATATTCCCGCTTCTCAGTTTTGGTACCCGCCCAAATTTTTAAATTTTTCCGCAACGAAAAATACATATTGGTCGCGCAAAGTCTAAAAAAATTCTCGCGTCCCATTTTTGGTACCCGCCCAAATTTTTGCGCGACGAAAAATGTATATTGATCGCACAAAGTTTTGGTCGACAAAAAATATTGGTCGTGCAAAGTCTAAATTTTAAAAAATAAAAAATAAAAAAATCGCATCCCATTTTTTATACCCGCCCAAATTTTTAGAGTTTTGCGCGACAAACTGTTGGTCGCGAACACTTTTGAGAGACGAAAAATTGGTTCATAGCACAATATTTATAAAAATAATTGTTATGAATAATAAAAAAGAAAATAATTTTATTTTACGATTTAAAATATAAATAAGGTTAAAGCTACTTAATAAATATATATACTATTCAATTTCTTAAGTGTTATACGTACAAAATAAATAAATTTAAAGCTACTTAATAACTAAATATATATATATATATACACACACACCATTCAACGATCCAACCGTTAGACTTGTTTGTATATACTTCAAGATTGTATACCCCAAAAATCGAAAAAAACAAACATTCAGAGATCTATTAACCGGACAAAACTTTTCGATGGTTATAAATGAAAAATCACGATTTAACGGTTATTTTAACTCCGATTTTGATGATTTTTTTACAGCTACACTCCTTGACCTTATATGAATACAATGAATGAATTTGATCTTCAATTTAAAATATTTACACTAGTGGA